TTATGATGTTATGAATGCATTTTTGTCCAGGATTATTCTAATTACCCTTGAAAGATCTATATATGTAGTCATATTGGTATGATTATTATAATGAAATTGATCATTGCCGATGATGGTGACGATGATGATAGCGATGAAAATGATGATAAAAATGATGTTGGAAATTAAAGGAGAAATATCCAAATTCCCATAACCTTATAAGTGATAATTCTATTTTTTAGTGTTGATTCTGACTCCAGTGGAGAGATGTACAAGTTCACCACAAAAGTCCTTCTCTACTCAAGTGGCAAAGTACGTTGGCTTTCTCCCATACAAGTACAAAGCGAATGCAAGATCGATATCACCAACTTCCCCCTGGATGACCAACAGTGTAAGCTAGAGTTTGGTTCATGGGCATACGATGGACACCAACTGAACTTGACAAACGCTAGAGGAACTGCAGACCTCAGCATGTATATAACCAATGGAGAGTGGGAGATGCTCTCGGGAAATGCCAGAAGAAACATTGCCTATTTCTCGTGCTGCAAAGCACCTTACATAACGCTSATCTATACCTTCCAYCTGAGAAGACGTGCTTTGTTTTACTTTATGAATCTKATTCTCCCATGCGTSTTGTTRACGTTTCTATCAGCYCTGACCTTCCGATTTCCACCAGAGTCAGGAGAAAGGGTTTCTCTTACCATAACCATCCTCCTAGGGATGACGGTCTTTATGCTCATCTTCATCGATAATATTCCTCCAACGTCTGAAGTTGTGCCCTTGATAGGTAGATACTTTTCCTGCTCTCTGTTCATAATGGGGTCCTCTCTTATCGCCACATGTGTSTCTCTCTCCTTCTATTACAACAAACCATCMACTGAAATACCATTCTGGATTCGTATCCTTGCATTCAGTCGTCTAGGCCCAGCACTCGGGATAAGACCACCTAAGCACATAGCCATCGCTAATGAGGTCAAAATATCGAGCCGTGAAAGAGCAAACTCAAACAAAGGAAGCTTCCTGAATGAAYCCAAMGACAAGCGGCGGAAAGYCCAACGGCACAGCGTGCTAAGCAGAAAACTGGAGACYTCGTCGATGTTAAGTCAAAGCTCTAGCTTYCCTAACAAYATTGATAAGACACAACACGCGCCAGTCATCCGTGTCTTYCTTGATTCAGAAGCGGCWCGCTACCCTCCYGAACCTCAAAGGAACCASCACTCCTGCTGTTGTTGCTGTAACGCYTCTGGCCAAGCTACTGAGGATTCGGAAGTGGATGAGAAGARAGAGGAATGGCAGTACGTTGCAGCAGTGACCGAYAGGTTCTTTTTTTATTTGTTTATCCTCATTATTTGTTTGTGTGCTGTGATAGTTTTCCTACTATCCCCTGCAGTCGAAATGCTGTTCTGAGCAAGTTTTCTAAATTGTTCGTCGATAAAAAGGTACCTGAGTTACGTCATGAACTTGGCTCCGCGTGTCCTGCATATACTTCCGGTTTACAGACAATTTACAATAAACTATCGCGTGACTGTTATTTGATTGTCAATACGAGAATAACAAGAACTTGAATATATTTGAAAGACATTTTGAGATAGAGGGAGGAAATATTTTAATACTGTGTGTTTTGTTTAAGAGAAATCATTAGTGTTTGCAACATGAGCTGAAGGAAAAGGAACAACAGGATCTTGTTTCAGAATTACAAAACTCTATACGCGTTGATGATTTCTATTACCATTCAAATTATTTCTCCTTTTTTTTTCTTTTTCGATTGGCCGATAACTGCAAATAACTATCTACAAATAATGTTCTGCTCATGCGCATTAGGTTGCTAGAGCCGTTTTGCTGCAAATAATAGTCTATTCATGCGCAGTAACGCTAAATTTGTCAACATGGCTCGCTTCCCTGTGACCTGTAGTTGTTTCCTGGTAAGCATAATTTTACATTATTGGTTTATAAGTTTAATAGGACCATACTTCCAGACATSGAGTGCTGAACCGTCGTATGGCAGCGCGAAGCATTTACGGCTACACCGGAGATTTCGGCCCCGACACCGCTATCCGAAGATTTACAGACTGATCAGGAAGCTCGGTCAAAGCCTAAGGGAGACGTTAGTCGGCCCCTAGACCGTAGATGATTAACCCCTTGCTATGACCAGCAAACTCGAAATTGAGCGTATAAAGTTAATTTCTTACAACGCTTACCCTCTCCCGTACATGTGGGACGTATTTTCAAAACAMTGTCTCCCCTAAAAAATTTTCTTTATATTTTATTTATTACAAAGACCAGCGAAACAAGACTACGTTCATGACGACATTATGTTCAGATCAATATTTATTTAATGTTTCATTTTTTGATTAACTTCTTTTTCGGTGTTTCGACCAACGCGCATGCGCAAAAGTGGGACAAAGTTCCGGTTTTGGCACGAATATCTTTTCGAGAGTTTTTCCTAGAAATAAGGTATATTTAATCACTTTGACGGTACYAGATGGAGAGAACGCTTTGTATGGAGGCAGAACATTGATATGATATTTTCATTCAATGGTTTGCTCCTAAAGAGCTCAGTTGCCGTGTCATCTGGCAGCGTCACCGATCGACAGCAGTAACCAGAATCCATAGAGGGCCATAAGATAGATAACTCACTGGGTTATTGCGGCACCCTAGTACGAGCTCATGAACAGAGAACTGCGAATAATTGTCCAAGGTGTTAAAAAAAGGTCTCTATATCATTGCAAGCTCACCGTTCGTCTTGCTTCGATGCAAAGCTCGGCTACCTTTCAAGTTGGCGCAGGGAACTGTGAAAGGGACTATTTTTGCAGGCTTCATTATGTCAAGTTTAGGGTAACGTCAATGCTACGTCACTATTTAGATAAGCTGGCCTTTTCAAACTGTGTCATTTCCTGCCCGGCATGCGTTAGAATCTTGCGGCGCACCAAAGCTTTTTAATAACAGTATTGTTAGGAAAAGATTTAGAAATGAAATGTGTTTATTCTTTGATTTGTTCTTTCTATTTTATTTAACYTTGTCCGTAGAGCTAAGAAGGGGCATCGCACTGCTAATAAGCTGTATGATAGATAGGTCGGCTTCAGATGTAAAGATTAAGTACTTGCTTCATGCAATAAGGCAGATACCACTGTGTTCCTTGATTACAGACTCGTTTACTCAGGGCTAGCCTCAAAATCTTCACAAATATCCACGGTAAAGTAAAGAATGCACAACTTCAACAATACAAACACGTTGAAATTCCACGGACCTTCGCTGGAACACGAACAAAACTGAGGCTGGAATATTTCAATTATATATATATTTTTTCCAAATTTTTTTTAAGTTTCGAAACAATACATCAAAAGCCTTTGGAAAAAACCTAGCTATTTTTCAGTGGTCGATAGTTATCTGTAGGCAGTATCCGCCTTAGTTTGGATCATTAAAGCAGTTGCAATTGATGATAATTAACTAATATATTTGTGTATAAATCGTCATCATTATCGTGATTCATTGCTCGGGAGGCGCATAAGGCTTTTACAATATTCGTCCCGGTAACTCGCTCTTGTTCAGCACCAAACGAATAATTGAAAATGAAATGAAATAACAGGTGCTTCTTATCGTCATTATCGTTATGAACATTGAAATTAGTGTTGAGAGATATCCAGCGTAGTTTGTAGTCGACAAAGATAATAYATATTCCGGTTCCGCCTAACTTATTAGCCGTCGGCGACCACCTTAATTTTTTTWAATTTAAAAATACAATACTAGGTGTAGTTAGACCAACATGTAATGTTATATATCTTTTACTCCGTATATATAGCCAGTCAAGCATAACCTTTTTATCACAAAAATTTCAAGTTACTTATAAAATATCATTTCCAACATACATTTATTTGTTTCGTACACACAACGACGCAGCTCAAATTCACTAGTTTGCTCACAGCTAGCTGAGCGGTCGGTGAATTTTGTTTCAGCCAATCA